CAATTCCTCAGTTTTTTTTTTCTTTATCAATACAAATATTTTGCGATTACCAGTTTTCCTGCTTTCAAAATAGTGGTTAGGCAATTGTCTATTGTCCATATTTTCCCCAAAAAAAAAAAAAACTTAAATTGTCCTACTCTTGAATATTCCCCAATTGGTGATGATTTGTGGCTTCAATTGAAACTTAACCAATAATATTTGTTGTTGAATGAGAATGGTGTCTTATATAAATATTTTGGTGTTTCTTGCCTTCCAAATAGTTTTCATTACAATCTCTCTATAAATTAGGGCAATGTATCTTCAACCATTTGTCAGGGAAATCCCATTGGCGGTTGTCCCATATTATATCAAATTGTATAACCAGTCTCAGGTAGAGCCAATCCAGTTGCCCCAGTATCGTTTCCACCAAACAAAATTTCATCCTCCAACGGACAGTATAACTAGAGGTGGATCATGAATTGTCATTTTTCATTCACCGACTACATGTAATATCCAAGTTTATTCCGATTTCCTTTTCAACCAACCAGGTTGTTGATGAAGTTGTAATGCATGGCATTAGCCACATCACACATGCATGTTTGTTAAATGGCAGGTTTCTGAGTAGTCACATTAATCCAAAGTCAAAAACATGTTTTCTCTTACATCTTTACTTTCCTTAGTTATATTGTAGTTTGAATCGTATATTCGGACTCCAGCTTCAGTTCATAGTTTTTTTTATAAGACCTACTTTAACAAACTCCGGACTCTGATACCCATTACTAAGTCGTAACATAGTACTTTCCATAACTTATTACTCTTCCCTCGACTTTCAAAAAAAAAAATTTTTTGTATTTTTCATGCAAATCACTAAGACCGTGTTTTCACTATATGAGAATAATTGTTATCAGTCGATTGTAATTTTTAATAATGTTGTGCAGTTGGGGAAGTTTGTGACATTTTTCACTCTCCGTCAACCATTTTCATTAATTTGTCCTACCCACTTTTTCATTCATGTTTTTCTGAAGTTACCCACCCTTTAGGCGACACTAAAGGGTCAGTAAGAAACAAAACCTTAATGATTCATTCCTTAAAGAGGATATATTATGCAACCCACATTCAACAACATCCAATATTTATTATGGGAGTCAAACATCACATGAACTGACCATTTGGCCAGTACGGTGATATTTTGTTGACGAGGATAAAAAGGGTTGAAAACCCTTTGACGTTTATGAAAAACAAAAACATTCCATGCAAATTATTTTCACGAGTACCTTGCAACTTCCAATTGATCTTGATATACGTCTTATCCCCCAATAGATGAACGACTAAAGGAACCATAATAAAGAAAACGTTGTCGAAGTAAAAACTAAAACTCTTTCTAATAGGAAAAACTTATGGTTAGTGATCCACCCCAATATCCATGTTGTGACTTTATCGTGCATATTATTATCTTGAGCACATGCACGGTTTCATAAAAAAACTTGAACTCTAAAAATGGGTAGCATTTTCAGTGAGGATCTGTCTCAATCCCTAATCCACACAAATTTTAGATGTAGTGGTAAAACAAATATATATTTATCTAAATTTATTGAAGCTTAAAACAACACATAATAATTGTCAATAACGAATTTAAGTTATTTCACTATGAAGGGGTGATTTTTGCATGTCACTGTTATGTCATCGATTATAGCTCCCCCCATTCACTGGAATAAGGGGGCTAAGCATAAACCCGTTATCATATTATTTGTATGAATGTTGGTCAACGAGACTTATAATTGTAAAACAAAAAGAAAAGGAGTCAGAGAGCAACCTTGATTCAGTGAGTGTTGAAACTACTTAGCAGTCTACCATACACAATGATTGCGGAAAAAACATGTGACCACATAACTTTAATACTCCACATTGTCATAAACCTTTTCCGTGTTTAGAAGAAGTACAACCACTTTTGTTTTTTTCTTTACCGATTTTTTACAACGCTCGGATCATGAACTAATATGTCATTAAAAATGAAGCATTATTTTACAAAGGTCCCTTCGTCATTCCCATTACGCCTGTCAATACTTCAACAAGGTGAATTATCTACGCCTTAGCAAATATTTTATATGACACGATATCGGATGGTAATTTTAAACCTCAACCTTGTCCCTCATTTTACAAAAAAAAAAATGACGCACTTTAAAAAGTTGTTAGGTAGGGTATCACACTCTCTAACTTTGTTATAAATATCATGCAAAAAATAAAAATTTCAATAAATAATTCATCAAGAACTCCATCTATGCTATGACATTTGTCACAAGTCATCTTTTTAACTGCTTTGTGCGATTCTGAGACTGTAAAAAATGTGTCAGAAAGACCTATGATTCGTTTAATATAGGAACTTGTATATTGTGTAAAAAAAAAAAAAAAAGACAAATCGGTATCTATGGTATTAAATGACCTATGTGTCGAAACTATATCGCAAAAATATTCAAACGTGTGTTGACACATTGTTTGTAAACATTATAACTTGATGAAAAATATAGCACGAAAGGTTGAGAGAGTTGTCGTACTAACAATTTTGCCTACCGTATAACAAGTGAGCAAAACGTCAACTTCATCATTCTATTGTACCTCACTATGTCTATGAGTTTCAATCTAACCACTCAATCTGTTTCTGTATTTGAAGTTATTCCACTTTAATTAACGTTTGTTTGCGATTTTCATACAAGTGGTAGTAAGTAAATGAATCATGACCCTTTTTTTGTTGGCTGACTCTAATTTGGAAATGTTGTTTTCCCTTTCATGTTTTGTTTGCTGCTTTCATGCGTGAAAATGTATTAGGAGCACCATGAACTATGCTTTGAATCAACTCAACCCAACTATGCTTATTTGTAAACAAGTATTTTGTCTGCATTCACTGGGTCATTTGCATTGATATCCATTTTGTTATGCCTTTGTCTTTCAACAATCGTTTTTTTCCCCCTTCTTACGCACGTGTTCTTTTGGGGCTATATCTCAATTTATGCGTATTATCGTTGCATAGGGGTCATGTTAATCTTCTCTATATTATTTAATTTAAACGGATGTTCAATTTTTATTTATTTATTTTTTAATTTCAACCATTTCTCGAGTGATGCGTGTCATCCTTGCGCAAAAAACCATGCTAATTTTCTTTGTATCATTCTGACTTTCAACAAGTTGATATTTGAGTCGACATAGTGGTTTATCAAACATGTATAATAACAAGACATTCATTGATATATAGTCATCATACGATAGTGTTGGTATTGAATGATTTTACCTAATGTTTTGACGGATCCTCAAAGGACCTCACCACACTATTATTGAAAACGTATTTTCAATGAAGAACAAAGGGATGACTTAAAAAAAGTTGACAATGAGACAAAAAAATGGTCAATGTTTCTCAAACAGATCGAAAGGCAGGTCATCCATTATGTAAGGTAGTGATCTGACAGTGTTGCTACTGAACGCTGTTACTAACGATCGCATACACTATTTCATTGATGGATCTTAGCGATAAAAAAATATTCAAGAGGTGTTAAAAGTAAGTTTTAAGACTTTTTTTTTTAATGTTCAATTCCTTTGTCTACAAAACTTAAGGTTTCAAGCGTGCTTGACCAAGCACTTGAAGAATCTTCAAGTTTCATGAAGTGTCAGACACACGTGTAAGGACCATCAAATTTCAAGAGGTCGAACACATATATCGAAAAAAAAATATATATATATCTTTTATGTACAATGTGGACGAGCGTCACACTGTCAAGAGTGTTGTGTGACCAAGAGCTAAAAACTCTCGAAAGTATGACTCTTGAAAATCGGTGTCCACACACGACACACAAAATAAATTGGCAAATTTTTTTTTTGGACATATTCATCGTTTTGCTATAAATAGTAATGAGTGTATTTTGCCACCTTCGTGAACTAATGCACTCGTTTTGTTTTTGTTGCGTGTGCCGTGTGGCGAGGCCCAATGTGTGAGAACTCTTCATACTTTTCATCGTTTCAAGAGTGGCGTGGCAAGGCCTGAACATAACTTATATCACCCATTTTGCCAGAATAGCCAAATTTCACGCCTGAGAGTCTAATATACGCCTGAGGGTCTCCGATTTTTTTTTTACTTGGGGTAATTTCAATAGAGTTACAAAAACGAGTTATAGTTGCATTATTGGGCTAGATGCAGTTTGCAATTGCATTTCGGGCACCCTACCTGCCCTGAAAGCTTGGTTGTATACATTGCCCGAATTGCAGTTCGAACCTGTATCTTGCTCCATAGTGCAATTATAACTCATTTTTGTGACTCCCGCGTAGTTTCCCCTTTTTACTTTTATTTTATAAAAGGCTAATTCTTTTAAGCCCAATCAATTCAATTACCTGTCGAATCTGGACAGGACATCCTTTCAGGCCTTTTCCATTGTCATTACGGGGAACCCCGTAGGAGGCATATCCGTGGTAAAGCCTCCAATGAGGGAACATGCGGGAGCTGCACCCATCAGCAGGTGCGATACCTGCTACAACAAGTGGGCGATACCGGGCAGGGGTCAGCCAGTAGCATCAGGACCGAGCTTCTTCGATGGGGCAGTCGCTGTACCTCCCCCCCGTCCCCTCCCCCTATGAACATCAGCAGTCTCTGCTCCATGCGACCCGGGGGTCCAACAGCCTATCTCTAGGCGGCAGGCGCCAAGCTTGCCCGGGAAGGTACATGCAGCCATGGGGATTGAACCCGTGCCACTTGCGTGCCTTGGGGACGTGAGGCCAATGGGGATTGAACCCAAGACCTCCTGAATGCCACTTGCGTGCCTTGCCAATGAGCTAGGCCGCTAGATCGGGTCCGCAGTTCTACCGGGCCAAAGCCTGGATCGTTGCAAGAGCGTAACAAATACCGAGTATAGGCTGTCGCATTCTACACGGCAATCCGCCCGGCCCACACGGCAATCCGCCCGGTGCTAATTGGCCAACGGTCCTGATGGACCTAGAATAGTTCTACCGCTGTGTGCCGGTGCTACGTAGCCGTGGTGCATGCTTGCTTGAGTGCGGTTGTGTGGCTCTGCGTCTGTCTGTGCGTGTGCGTGTGCGTGTGCGTGTGGGTGTACGTGTGCGTGTGGGTGTGCGTGTGCGTGTGCGTGTGGGTGTACGTGTGCGTGTGCGTGTGCGTGTGGGTGTACGTGTGCGTGTGCGTGGGTGCGTGTGGGTGGGTTCTGTGCTTCACACACACACACACACACAGACACACACAGAGAGAGAGAGAGAGAGAGAGAGAGAGAGAGAGAGAGAGAGAGAGAGAGAGAGAGAGAGAGAGAGGTCTACGCGGGAACACATGAACAGTGTGCTGCTCTAGATTGATGTTGGAAGCCCCCAAGATTCGAACCTTCGTTTTTTCGTCGAGGGAGCGGTGAACAGCTCCGCGCGAAAGTGGTAAGCCGGGATCTTATCTTTTCTCCTCCTCCTCCTCCTCCTTCTCCTCCCTCTTTTGCCCTTCACTCTCCATCTTTCGACATCCTGTCGCAATATCTGTCTGCACGTGCTTTACCCATCTCTCTTCCCCATGGCGACCAAACTCTGGCTTCTTCAGCTCCCGTCATTGCGGCCCCCCCCCCCGCGCTGCTTGCGTGGCATTTCTCTCGCTCTCTCTCAATAACATCGTTGGTTCTGTCCAGACAATCAGCTTATGCCTTGTAGTTTTGTTGATTTGTGTTTGTGTCCAACACACCCACACAGGCAGAAGAGAGAGAGAGAGAGAGAGAGAGAGAGAGAGAGAGAGAGAGAGAGAGAGAGAGAGAGAGAGAGAGAGAGAGAGAGAGAGAGAGAGAG